TAGTCCAACTTTTACGCCTCTTATGAAGCCCATACTAAACGAAAAGATTTTTTCTTCTCTCATGTGCCTCAATGCAAACTATACATATATGCAAAAGCCATAATATTGGTGGTACGCCATCTTCCATCTGTTCATACAAAAGGAAAGTGGAGATTAAACCGTGCTTTTGTTAGATATTTGGCATACTTTATCAATGGAGAAAGTTTATATAGTGTGTCAACGTTATGTTATAGAAGTAAGGCGCACCTCAAGAATCCACTGGAATAGATTGTTTTGACACTGTAAAACCCTCCAAATGATCATCTTGACCTCGAGATGTATAGATATGAAAAATAATTATATTTGAAGTCTTGAAAATAATGTATCTTGTAGCACATTATTTGGACCATCCATTTTTAAGACTTTCAAGTGTTTGTAGATCTACTTGATCTGCACTATTTTAAGAGCTTTAACTTTCATGATTATGGATAAAAATGCTTTTTTAGGTCATCACAAAGTTTTTTGGCACTAAAAATAATTCTTTTAGCATAATTTAGTGATGTGCGTTACTTGGATTGTTTAAGGTTGACACCTTCTACAAACCACACCCTTCATTAATATACCCATAATTTATCTCCATCGTTGTTTATTATGGATGGATGGTTGATGTGCAAGCTTTAGATGGTAAACCTACACATAATTGGATTTACAATGCTACATCTTAGGCTCAGTTCCTACCAAGGGTAAGGACCCTCTCCCTACTGACTTATCCAAAAAAAAAAAAAACTACGCACAATATCTCACATACAAGAATAACGATTTAAATGAACGACTCAATTCTTTTTTAAGCCGATGGTCTAAGTCACCTTATCTGTTTATCTGATCCATTCCAACTCTTTTGAGGACTTTTCAATTTTTGCTACTTTAGTTCTTGGTGGTCATCCGGATATCATGCTCCTTCAGGAGCATTTCCTATGTTCACTCCCCAGGGTTAAAACTCAATGTAGAAGCCTTAAAATATTTGCATGATTAACCTCTTCACACTAGGTGTGGCATTGGACTCGGACCCAACCCGGGACCCGTTGGGTTTACTCGAATGGTTTCGGGTATAGGTTCAACATTTGGACCCAGAGGGTCAAGTCTTGGTACAAAACCTGGACTCAAACACTATTCCGGTCTAGGTCCGGGTTCGGTTGGACCAGACCAGTACCTGTAAATTGTTGAAGATAAAATACTTCAATCTCAATTCGTTTGGGTGTATTAAGGATCGTATACAATAAGACTTTATAATCATCTTTAGCTATTAAACAATAAATAAGATGGCTTTAAATTTAATGGCAGGTTGTGACATTGTTGCCAATAATTTGGGTATATGATGGTAAAGAAAGGGGGAAAAAAAAAAACAAAAAAAAAAGAAGCTCATAGTGAGGGTGGCAATTGATCCGACTAGACCCAGGACCCGACAGGATAGACCTAAGACCCGAAGGGTACGGATATGGGTCCAACTTATGGACCCGACGGGTCATATCTGGGTCCAAAGCCTGGACCCGAAAACATTTGGATTTGGTCTGGGTCCCGGTCCAGTCGAACCCGACCGTTGCCACCCCTACTTCACACTAGCAAAACAACCACCAAAATAAACAAACAAAAACAGAAAGAGAGAGAGATCAAACGCTCTTATGCGTGGTTGAAAAAGAATAATGCCATATCCATTTTTAAACATGTGATCTAAGTGTTTAAAACCTCAAAACTCAAATATGTTTTGTTGAGCATAAGGCTTAAAAACACGGATTGGTGACTCAAATCGCCTATCTATAAATCGATCAAGATCAGCGGATCAACGATTCTAAGTAGTATTGGCTGATAGAAAATTTAAAAAGTAAAGAACAAAAAAAATTGAAAAATTAAAAATAAAGTGGGACCGGTTCTCTGACAGAGAACTGATTGGTTCCCGATATTTAGTAGAACTAGATTGGCCTGATGATTCTCTATTCAAACCGATTGGTTGCGGTCTGGTTCACCCATTTTTTAAATCTTGTTGAGCCTAATCATGGATGATAATGAGGTGGATACCAAACTTTAAAAAAAAAACTGTCCTAAACCTTCCCTATGGAAGTAAGCGTACAGTATGATCCATCTGGAGCATCCCATACTTTGATGGCAAAAAGAAAAGAAAAAGCAGGTACGCACGCAAAAAAAAAATCAACTAACTACTCCGATAATCTCTCCTGCTACGAAATTGTCCAAATTATTTCAAATTATAACATTTTCGCCCTCATGGGGCTTCATAGCTGGGCGGGCTCGCCGATTATTTCGGTAACACATTTATTTTGTATCTCAGTAACAAATAAAAGAATAAGTGCCTTTTCTTGCTTTCGTCCCTCACCCTTCATGATTATACCATTTTATTTATTTATTTATTTGTTTTTAAGGTTTTGACGTGCATTCATTCATCCTCTCAACCTAATCTCCCTCTCTCTCGTTGTATACTATACGAACGATGTTTTGGGTTTTAGTTCTTTTGTTTAATTTCGGGAGTTATTAAGATTTGAATGTTCCATCATTCATTTATTCCTCAATAGGTGGTTATTAGGGCTGGGAGTTTTCAAACTTTCTTTTGTTCTCTTTTGCTCTTTTTGTTTTGTTGTAATTTCTTTTAGTATCTTAATGAAGCTTATTGTTTCAAAAAAACAGTAGGGCTGCGAATTTGACTACCTGACCCGATTTGGGTCAGGGTAGGGGTTAAAAATTTGGACCCATCGGGTCTCATCCTGGTCCAAATCTTGGATTTGAGTAGTAAAAAATATTATTTTAAAAAATTATATGATGTTTATATATATATTTATAAATGTTAATATAGTAATATATACATACTCTTTTATCTTTTTTGGGCACTCTTTTTTTTTATAGCATTACCCATCCCTTCTATATATATATATATATATATATATATATATATAAATATAGGAAAAGTTATAAAAAAAACCCTATGACCACACTTTCTATGCAACTTAACTCCAACTTAACTTTTTCTCTCGATTTTTTTCTCAAAACAAACTTTCTATGCAAATACTCCCAAAGGAAAAAGTTCATTTATTTTAGACAGAAATGCCCTTTACGTACATAAAAATCATTTTTCGCCAAATTTGACAGTGACTTTGGACTCCAGTGACACATTGCTGGAGCGCACCATCACATTGTCGAAATGCACAAGTGCCGGACAGCCCTAAGACAACTACCGGATCGAAACTAACTACTACTGGACCACCTTTTACATAGTGCTAGAACCCTGGAATCCAGTAACATCTACTGCTGGACTGCCTTTTGCCACTGTTGGACTACCATGTACAACTGCCGGATTACGTTTTATACCATGCAGAAGCCCTACTGCCTAACAACATTTTACATAGTGTTGAACCCCTACGGTTAGACCGTACTTTACACAGTGCTGAAGCCCTACTACTAGACTGCACTTACACAGTTCTGGAGCCCCTAATTTGGTGGAATAGTAGAGAGAGAGGTGTGGGTAAGGTAAAAGTGAGAGAGGGTAGTTTAAGGTTTTTTTTGGTCGGGAGTTATTTGCGTACAAAATGTACTTCGGGAAAAAAAGTAAGAAAAAGTTAGGTTGGGTAAGTTGCATAGAAAATGTGGTTTTGGTTTTTTTTCTTTTTTTTAAATTTTCTCATGTTATTTCGGATACGAGGTCTAGTACTAGAGTAAGGATATTTTGGGTAAATTAAAAATTGATCCAAAATAGGTAAAATTACAAAAAAAAAAAAAAAAGAAAAAATCCCAAGACCACACTTTCTGTCTAACTTACCCCAGTCTATGTCTTTCTTTCACTTTTTTCCCAATAAGCTTTCCATACAAATACCCTTAATTGAAAAAGTTCATTTTTTAGACGGATATGCATATCTTGTACACAAAAATCATTTTGGACAGATTTGACGTTGACTTTTGGACCCAGTAGCATAACCAAACCACATTTTACACAGTGATCATTTTGGACAGATTTGAAGTTGACTTTTGGACCCAATAGCATAACCAAACCACATTTTACATAGTGAAAGCGCTACTGCCGAATCGCACTTTGCATAATGCCGATGCCTTGCTGTCAGACTCAACTAGATAGTGCCGGAGCGCTGATGCTGGATTGCATTCTCCCTATTTTGGTGGGATAGAGGAGAGATATGCGTGATTAAGGTAAAAGTAAGAGAGAGTAGTTTAGGGATGTTTTTTATTTTGATAGGGGGTTTTTGCATAAAAAGAATATTTTGGAAAAAAAAATGAGAGAAAAAATTCGGTTGAGGTAAGTTGCATAGAAAATGAAGTTTTGAGTTTTAATTTTTTTTGTTAATTTTCTCATAAAAAAACAACTCAAGAAAATGTGAAAATATCATAGACTTATAATTTGAAAAAGTAAATATGATTTTAAATAAAAAAATATAATAAAACCATTCACATTTAATACAAAATATCATTAATAACCCGTACTAATATTACTCATTTAATTACAGCTAAGTTAACTAATATGTGCTGCTGTATCCTAATTGCTGTCAATTTCATTGCCATTGTTCTGTACTTAACGCGATTCACCATAAAGGACGCAAAAATAGACAAATGACCCCAACACTATTCTAAATGATCGAAACATCCCAACCCTTCTATGGATATACCCAGAACACCCTCGCCAGCTATTAAAAACAAGCGAAAGGGCATATCTGAAACAAATAGGAAGACAAGGGTATTTTCTCCGGGGATGAAAACGGAAGGGCACAATGATTAGTAGGTTGTGGGAGTGGCTAAAGTAAGGAAACAAATAAATACGTTCCCAGATTTATTAATGTATGGTTTGCGTCGACTTTTTAACTCGTGAATTTTCTCTTGCGTTTTTGTTTCTCTCTCTAATACTTTCTCTCTCTAAAACTTGTTGGTGCGGCCTGGCTGGCTTTCTTTTTGTAGAGAGAAGGAAGAAGGCTTGGTGACCGATTCAGCCGCACCTCTCTTCGCCAAAGGTACGCTCCTCCATTCTTCTCTCCTCCGCCAATCTCTCTGTTCCAGGGTGTTAGGGTTAGGGTTTCCGACATCCCTTACACCCAACCATTTCCCTCTTTTCATCTGATTTACGCGCCCTCTCTTCTCGGATTAGGGTTTCTCCTTATCGCTTTCTAACTGCACGCTTTTCCCCTCCCTTTGTTTCTTTCTTCTCTTTCGCTACAGAATTTCTCTCTCTAGGCTTAGGGTTAGGGATTAGGGTTCTCGGGATCTGCTGATTTTGGTTATTCTCTTTTGAGTGGTGGTGTTTGCTTTCGAAGGATGCCTTTTGGTAGATTCAGAGAATGGAGGTCTTTTTAATGACATTGTCTTAGCTGAGGAGGAAGAATAGGAAGGTTCTTTGCAGAGACAGCCATGAGTGCCTCCAGGTTCATAAAATGTGTTACAGTTGGTGATGGTGCCGTAGGAAAAACCTGTATGCTCATCTCGTACACCAGCAACACGTTCCCCACTGTAAGTCTTCACCTTAATCTGGATTTTCGATCCTTTACATTTCTCTGATTTTCAAAACAATCTTCTCTTTTTTTTCGTTGATGTATTCTTTCCATTGTGGTTTCCTTGATAATTGATTTGTTTTTATGAACAGGACTATGTACCTACTGTTTTTGATAACTTTAGTGCGAATGTTGTTGTGGATGGGAACACTGTGAACCTTGGATTGTGGGATACGGCTGGTGAGATCGGGAGTTTCTTTGTGAAAAATTGAGTCTCTTTTGTTCTTTTTGGCATTTCGAGGAAGATTTGGGATTTTAAGGTCTCATGTGAATCTGGATCGCAGGTCAGGAGGATTACAATAGGTTAAGACCTTTGAGCTATCGAGGAGCAGATGTGTTTCTTTTGGCCTTTTCTCTTATCAGCAAAGCCAGCTACGAAAATGTTGCAAAGAAGGTAGCTTTTTTTTAATATCATTTTTATGACAATTTTTTATTTGTACCTTTTGCTGTCATACTACAAGGAGAAAAAGGACACTTAGATGACTTTGTCAGTGGTTTGGTCTTTTACTAGTTGTTATTTTTTTTATCAATCTTCCCTGCTGTTGCCTCCTTTGAAGGAGTAGAGTTGATTTGCACTGTTTGTCATGTCTGATGGTATTTGATTATGCAGTTGGGTTCTACAAGCCTATATATATATATATTTGTTTTTGTTTTTATAGAATTTTTTAACAGAGTTCACTGTTTAACTTTGTGTGAATTAAGCGTTTTCTTTCTATCTGTTGCAGTGGATTCCTGAACTTAGGCATTACGCTCCTGGTGTTCCGATAATTCTGGTTGGGACAAAGCTTGGTAAGGTTTTCTAAACAACTTTATTTTTTTTTTGATAATTTTCACAGGCTTTGTTTTATTACATTCTAACATAATTCATATGTTGAAATCTCCTTAACTGTGCATGCGTGCCTAACATTGTTATTCATGCATCTTTCATTCCGTCTTACTTCTTATGGAATTTACAGGAGTGGTAATTTGTTTTTAGTTTACCAATGCTGTGTATATAGGACCAATTATGTTGCTCCAAAGAATCACACAAGCTTTACTTTAGGCTATTGATTTTTGGTAACTTTATTCTAGATTGATTTGTCTAGAAAATGGGTATTGGCTGAAACCTGTCATTGTTTGTGTTCATATTTGTGCTTTCTTATTATGTGAATGGACATGGCACTCTTTCAAAGGCATCTAACCGTATGCTAACCATCATTCATGTATTTATAGGGCTTTCTTTATATTGCTGTGTGGCTGCTTTTGACGCTATTTTGGGTGTGACCTTCAAATAGTTTTCTTTGATTGCATTTTAAAGCTTTTATTTGTTATTTTATTTTGGGTGTCATTTGTTTGTGATGAGAACGTATAAACTCCAACTTTTTTCCAAGATAGAATCTTATTGGCTGATTTATCGTTTTTTGAATGTTTCTGGGTCTGAAAATGCACATTGCAGCTGTTATCGGCTGATTTAATCCAATTTAAATTGATTTGACTTAGATTTGGACAGATTAGGACCTAATTTTTCTTGTTCTTTCAAGAAAGTAATTATTCTCATTTTTTCCTTATGCACAATTGAGTTGTGTCATGTAGAATAATGCCTCCCTATATTTGAATGTAATTCAGCTTTGTAATCAACATTGAATCTTGTGAATGGGTGGATGCGCATTTAGGTGGTGATGGGGCTACCCTGCCTAAGCAGGCGCCTTTGAGTTCCTAGGCAGTGAATATCGGGAAAAAAGTCATCAATTTGTAATTTATGTAGTGGTGTATGTTTCTTATCCTTTTTCTCAAAAAAGCCAAAATATGTTTGTGCTGTTATGTACAATCTTAAAAGTGCTATATACATGCATGCAAATACATAATAACATCCCTGCATATTATGACGAAGTATGGTTAATTTACACTTGATGAAACCTTAATATACTGTTCTATTGGTCTTGGCGGTTTTTAGAACCTACAAGAGGCACCTGGGTATGCGGATTAGGTGCCTGCTGTTTAGGTTTGTCTTTCTGATAATCTTACTGCACCCCCTCTCTAGGCGGTGCCTAGGTGAGTGCTTTTACTGACATTGGTTAGATATATACTATCTTAAGATGAATGCTTTCTTCAGAGTTATCATCGTAATAAAACTGTACCAGAACAAACTAGCAGGACCATGTGTCCAATAAAAAGAAAAAGTGAAATGCTTACAAGAACTGGCTTGAAGAACTATGTGGTATGATATGGATTTGGGATGCAGTGCTGCAACTGTTGCACCTTAACTAATGATGATGAAGCTGGAACCCTACTAGTCTTTTGTCCATATGAGGTACATGTATCAATTTGCACACTTGTACCCTTTCTTCAAATATTTTGTAGTCATGTTGTTTTGAGGCCTGAACCATTGCCCATGTTGATACCGTTGGCCAAGTATCAGTGCGCATACTTGTGCCCTTTTTTCAAAGATTTTGGCCAACGTTGGTTGGAATTTTTTTCCCTGAATTTTTTAACAACCCCTTCCCCCAAGAAATGGTGGGTTTTAAAGAGGAAACCTTCTCTTTTGGATAAGAGAGTTCTTTCTGTTAAGGATTGAAGAAGAGAGTGTACATTTGGGCGCTTGACTTTTTTACATCTCTTGTTGCAATGGTGCTTGAGTGCATCCATGGCTCCCCATCCATGACCCCCCATCCATGACCAATCTATGCATCATTGCTTTTCCTATGTTTTTGAAGTCTTGACATTTTTGAAATAGCATTTTTGAATGTTTTGGTTATTGGGGGGGATTTGGTTTTTGTGTTGTCCATAATTTAAAATAGTGGTATCTAGTTTCCATAGGTCCTCTGTTCTGTGACCTCTGCCTATAAGATGCACACTGACCATCCAATGGGGCCTTGAAGTTCCTATGGTTCCTCATTTTATCTTTTTATTTTTTGTACTTGTTCCTTTTTCTGATCTTTTATCTTTGCATAAACATTTTACTTTTGTGATTGCTAATTGGACTAAAAATATACGAAATTGGATACTCCTTTACTGTTTTCCTGCTTCGGTGCTTCTTGTTTGCTTGGGTGATAGCTTTTCATGTTGTTTTTCTTGTTTGATATAGGTAATTATTTATGTTGACATCCTTTAAATGTTTTATATGTATGGAGAATTTGTGTAGATCAATGCCGAAAGCATATTCTGAGGAACCTGAACATGTTCCCAGAATAAAGCATTATATTTACAGCATGGTGAATTCTTGCCTTAGGTGGGACATTGTAATCTCTTTTTTCTTGATTGCTGCCTTTCTCTCTATCTCTCTCTTGATAAATCTAGTTGATTTCATTTCTATTCAAATTCAATGGTGTGTTAACTCTGATATGGAAGAAGCACAGCCACTATGATGGGCTTTCTACTTTCAGGGAGGCACAGGAGATTGGAAATCGATGATCGAGAAAACGTTATTTTTCTTGTTAGGGAAATTGAGCAAATTTACTTTATGAATTTTAGTTTCTTAGCCTTGTTTGACACATTAAACAACTCAAAATCAGATGAGTATGTGGTACAAAAATTTGTTCTTGAATGAGATTCTCTCTGATGATATGTTTATGGATTTGTGAGATATTGGATTGGATGCATTTTGAATTGTACTGTGTAGTTTGCCATTTACCGATGGAGTCGTAATGTCCATGGAGAACATCACTCGGCTTTGTGCTTGATTTTGACTTCAAGTCTTTCTTTTACAGTTCTAGGGAACTAATGACCACCCAGGGAGATGTATTAACCAAGGTTCAGAAACTTGTCTTGGCCAACGTACCCGGCCCTTGGCCAAGGGAAGTAACTTGGCAGAGTCCGAGTGGACTTCGCTGAGTCACGTAGAACCAGAAAAAGGTCATTTTTTGTTAAAATAGTTAAAATAAGAAAAAAGTAAAAGAGGCGATAGAAAGCATTAGAAGACTAAAAAGATGAAAAAGATCTATAAAATATGGATTATTGAAAATTTTGATTTTGATTTTGAATATTTCAGAAATTTTTTTTAAAAAAGGGAATTTTTTTTGAAAGTTCTCAAATCATCTTAAAAACTACCAAAATCATGTGGGGCAAGTTGCTATGGAACTTGGTGTTACATGGCCTCACCCGAGGCGAGTCAAAGTAACTTGCTCGAATCCGAGTGGACTTTGGCGAGGCACGGAATGCTGGTGGAAACATTTTGATGCAAACGTGCCGAGCTTTACAGAAGGAGATATGTGAGAGAGATGCATAATGATCTCTTTTACATCTAAGAATATGGCAAATTGCTGTTAGATGAAGCTTGACAAAGATTAAAGACAAATGACAAATTTATTGACATTGTGAACAATATAGATAGTGACTCATAGGCAAATATACGAAACTTCTGAAATGTATTCCTATAATGTGTAGGATCTTCTTCAGATGCTGCATGGAATTTGACTATGTCCATCACATTCTTTCCATACTTGTTTGGATAGAGATATATATGAGATTGTTTTGTAACTTCGAGGTTCGAGTACACGGATATATTGCATCTAGAACTAGTATTCCTTGTTTTGAATTTTGATTACTCTTTCACCCACACAGACCAATTAATGCACACTCTCCTTCTTGTAGAGCTTAAAAATAGAGGTCATGTCAAATTTAATGCCGTTCGAGTCATGAATTAGTAGTCTTCTCGGACCAAGCTCCTAGTGCATGGTGGATTCCATATACTGCCTTTTGATGCTTTAATACTTAGCAAGGAAGACTGATTACTTGGAGGTAGAGAAGGTGTACCTCTTAACACCCCATGGTGGAAGACATTGTCACATCCATACGGAGATGCCTACTGTTTTATGGAAACCAATTGCATGAGTGTGTGAATAATAATATTTTTCAATAGTAGTTTTAGAATGCAGGAGAAAAATATTTCTTTTATCCATGCTATGTCCTTCCCTGAGCAAAACTCTGTGCCTTAGAGTGACTGAGTCCACCATCAGACTTGATTTTTGCAGTTATATACCAACTTTAATCCTTTTTTAAGCCATATGGTGAATGTGATTATGGTTAATTTCTTCAAATCTTCTACTGCATCTCCTAATATTGGGATTAGGAAGGAATTTAGTCAATAGATGCAAAGATTGATGAACATGTTAGTTGTTCACTAGTAATGGAAGGGATACTTGATTCAGTACCCTGGTCCTGTAACTGGTTCAGGATGTGACAAGGCTTAGTAGGAGCTACCTGTCGCTTTTTTTTTTTTGGTACACCTAGAGAGGTTTGGGAGCATCCACATTGGCGTGTCAATGTCGTAAGAGAAACTGAGATGTCATTTTCTGAAGGAAAGAGAACTGAGAATCTGAGAAACTGAGGAAGGAATGTGAAAAACCATCCATAGATGCAAAGATTGATGAACATGTTAGTTGTCACAAGAATGGAAGGGCTACTTGATTTAGTACCCAGGTCCTGTAACTGGTTCAGGATGTGAAGATGCCTTAGATGGAACTACCTATCAATTTTTTTATTATACGTAGAGAGGTTTGGCAGCATCAAGGTGGGATGTCAATGAAGTAAGAGAAACCAAAATATCTCTTTTTTGAAGAGAGGAGAAACTGACAATCTGAGATATCATTTTTAGTAAATATATCAACACAAACATCATGTCCCTGCTGAGCAGTAACCTTTCAAAGAACTTTTCCTTCCTGTTCACTTTCCCTTGCATGATTGGGATTGCATTCATGCTTAATTGAGAACTTGCTGTTGCTGATCACTTACCTTTGCTATGCAGTATCTCTGCACTACATTCATTTTAGGTTCATGCATAACTGATAACTTTCTTTTGGTGATCCGGTGAGCATTGTAAAATATCCCTAAGGTGCTTTTCATGGCTCGGATTGGCCATTTCTCAATTTCCCACGGGTTGAAAGTTAATTCCCAAAATGTTGGAGATTGCTGTTATTGAAATTGGGCCACCCTGGAATTTCCCGGATGCAATATTTTGTTCTAGGAGGTCCTTGCCTCTTAGGTTATATTCTATGTGATTGTCTTATTTTGTTTCTGGATCAAAGTCATTTTCCATTGGAACTCCTCAAATGATACCTAAATATCTAAAATAGCTATAGGTAAGCTTACTTTTGCAGATGTCTGGAATGTTTGGTATGAATTTGGGCCAAAACAGTCTCGTAAATGTTGTAGATATGTTATCATTTACATCCAGAAATAAGTAGTGTTGATATTTTGGTAGGATGGATCTGAAAGCCACTCCTGTGTGAAGAGGCTAGTTTGAGGCAGAATTCCCCAATCTTTACCATAATTTCAATTTTTATCCATGACATTGCATTTGTGCCAGGTGTTGGAAAACATCGTTTCTTTTTCTTCAAACGCGTAGTCGGAGTCATGCAGAAGGTGGGTGGGAGAATCTTCTATGAAATATTTTTATGAATTTTATATGGTTAGCTGGGACCCTCTTTCTCTGGGCTGGTTCCATCTTTTATTTGCAAAGAAAGTTTTGGAAGATGAATTGCTTGACATTCTTTGATATGTCTGGGACAAGGCCGCTGCCTCCTGGTTTGACTTCCCTAGAGTTGTCATCCTTAATAGTTGAACATGAGCATGGTTGATGACTAATGGGTGAGAATTTTCCTCGGTGGCCAAGATTAAATGTTACCCGCATTTCTTTATTGCATTACTGGGATTATGTTCAGGAGTGAACTAGTAAATTGTTTTTGAAGTACAAATGTCTTCAGTAAATTTTTGGTACTTTTTGGCTATCAGTTTCTCATGGATGGGACATGCTGATTGAAACGATCTGAAACTATGCCCTTTTTTGGCAAGGATGAGAAACTTTGCTCTGAAACTAAAATAGATGGTGGGAGGAACAGTTATTAACGTAGGGCCAGTTTGGATTTATGCAAATTTGGTAGTTTGGAGGATAACGCAAATAAAATCTTGAGGGGTTTAAACCCGTTTGGATATTGCTAGATTTTTTTATGGAAATAAAAAAAGCTACCAATTTCATGCTAAACAATCTGCATTCCAAAATATTCTACTGGGAGTTGATTTTGTTATTTTTTTTTGGCTAACTAGTTTCTTGACTTGAAGTTGTCAGGATCTATCTTTTCATACCCACCCTTCCTCTCTTAGGGTAGAGGAAAGGTGCCCAGCCACCCGCTCCTGTCACAAACCTCCTCATGTCACAACTCTCTAATTTGGTTTGCCCCACTAAAAGTAGGGATTCTAAGAGGCATTTTTTAATATGAAAAAGCACTCGAAAACCTTGTTTCTCCCACTAAACTCTAGAGAGAGAAAACCTACTCTTCACAATTGAAAAACATGGGAAAGTGTTACTGATAAAAAGAATCGTAGGAGCTCGGTTCTCTCTCACAGAGCTATGATATGCTTCTCCTTTTTCAAAACCATGGGACTAGAATCACAGAGGCTCTCTCTATCTCATCAAAATCAACTGTCACTGCTCATCTTCCCGCTAGAAACCCTGGGAAATGGAGCCATGGAACCACCTCTCTCTCTCTCTCTCTCTCTCTCTCTCTCTCTCTCTCT